CTCGAGCGGTTAACTCGGCCGCTTGCCAACCGCTACATAAAACTGTTGCTTTTTTAGACTATGCCGAGCCATTTTGGCAGCTGGGTGGCGATTTTAGCAGTCCGCCCGACCAGCTCGGTTTTAATAACACTACAACCAAGTGAAAAAATTGTAGTCCCACGTCCAGCAAATTGATAAGAAACAAGTTGGACCAATTCCATTATCATCTTGTTCCCAACGTAAATTCATGGAGAGAGATTGGGAGTTGCATTGTTAGTTCTTTCTTTTATAATATCTTGTGTTATATATATGTGTAATTAGGAGGTATGGTGTGTCAGAGAGAGAAGCATAAAAAAAAGAGAAAAAAGAGCTTTATGTGCGAGTGTGCTTTGGAAAAAAGCAAGTGCCAACAATAAGGCCTTGTTTGATTAAGTCTACTTTCTAACAAATGTTTCCTTTGTTATGATCCAAAATTGTTACTACTTGGCGGCTAATCCCCAACACTGCCTTACTGATTTTTGTTTCAATTTACTATGAAAATACTACTTATGTGATACTGGTATAACTGTGATGGCTTTTTAACAACATTCTGAAGTTAAAGATACATCTAAAAGAGTGGGGAGGTGTTAGGCCCTGTAAACCCAAGGAGTACTTCAATATGAAGCAAGTTGATGCCCAAAACTATTTTGAGAGGGCATTGGGAGTGAACCATATGAGGTTGGTCATACTAAGAGAAAGAAGTTGGTACTCTCTTGAAGTTATGAATCACATAGTTAATGCTTGTTGTTTGCTGCATATTTTCATCAAAAGGAAGCAAGGCATCAAAATATTTGAGAGGGACTACATGAACAAGGAACCTGAGCAATATCCTCCAACTGTCATGGACAAAATTTTCATAGTGTAGCATTCGCAAGAGTGGACTCAGTTTAGGAATTTGAAAGGACTAGATATGTGGGGAAATAGGGGTGGTAGATGACCTGCTAGGTCTGATCTGTTTGGGTTGTTAGTTATGTCTTATAAAAATGCTTTTTAGTGCTTTTACTATTATGTGTAAAAAACTCAGTGATACCTATAAGGTACTGAGCTTTGACAGTCTAATGTGTTTAGTGTGCTTACATGGGATGTTTTGATATGTGAATGTATTTCACTGGATACTTCATTTTAATGAAGTAGTGATGACTTTTATAAGTATTGATTGACTTTTTAGTGCCAACATGGGAAAGAAGAGAAGTGGTCCATGTTATTGTATTTATTGTTCGTGAGGTGAAGGTTGAACCTAACATTAGGTTGAGAGTCAAGAAGAAGGCTAAAAGAGAGTAGAGTAACGCCGATGATGCATAGCTAATGTTACAACTAAACTTAATGGGCTGAAGCCTATTCTCTGCAAGGCAGTAGAGGCACTTGGATCAATTTTTGTCGACCGTGAGGATAACAACACTAAGCAAACTGCTTTGATGGCTGAGTTGGTGAAAATTGATGGCCTAACACGCTGTCAAATCATTGATGCTGCGATGGCTTTAGCGGAAAATGAATCCAAGACGCGAGTCTTCTATGCACTTGAGACGGATGAATATCGATGCTATTTTGTGAAGAACCTACTACGTTGAGCATGGTAGATGGTGTAGGAAGATATCAAAGGGGCAGGATGGAGAAGTTTATTTTGGAGACCATGTTATTTTGTAAGTCTTAATCATCCGTAAGATACATGTGGAATGGATGAGAAACTTTGTAGTGGTGCAAAGCTATGTAAACCTATAATAGCTTTGTTAGGGTGACTCTTTTTTTTTTGTCATAGATATCCCCATAGGGGAACACCAGATATGAATTATAAACAAAATACAAGACCTTTGCAGGTCAAATCACAAATGAAAAATTAAAAGACCTTTGCAGGTCTAACAAAATAGGGCTTTACTACCACGATATGGGCAGCCCTATGGTACCTGAACGACATGGACAATTTCATGATTTCTTCCCCTTAAAAGGATCAAAATCATGAACTAACTATGCTGAATATTGAAGCAGAGCAGTAAATTCTTATAGATCTGGCAGGACGACTCACGCTCCGTATAAGCAGCTTCACTTGCAAAATGAACAAACACAGAAGGTAGAAAAGTAGACAACAACATTATAGGCGACAACAGCGATGGGCTGGTGCCTATGAACAATTTTCCACCAAGTAGATATAAACAAAACAAATGAATGAGATCCCTCTCCTTCTCCTTCCTCCTTGTTCTCTTATCCGTATCCTCCACTATAGAACAAATTCCCTTTCTCGACGACACATTGTTGTACTAATTGCATTTTTAGCCGAAAAGCAAAACACACACAGCGACCACTGTGTGGCTAAACCTCTATCCTTTGTAGAGATAAAATCATGGACCAAACTCCTAAAACACGGAGCAAAAAATTCTCATAACAACATGACAAAAGGAAACAGACTTCTGCTTCAGAAGATGAACTACTTGTAGCAAATATGGCGGAAACTGTAGGATTTTTATGAAGTTTCCCCACCATGCCATCATGTCTACTTGTAGTTAGTTATGTAGTATTGTATGTGATATTTGCATATGAATTATCTGTTTACAAACTATTATCAAGTGTTGCATATGAGGTTAGCTATATGAGACGAGGGTAGCTGGAAGAAGAGAAATGAAAAGAAGAAACAAGTAAATAAAGTGAGGATAGAAAGGTAAAATCGCCTCTTAGAGTTATAAGTCTATAACTTAAATTAACAAATCCAACGAGCAATAATGAACCAATTCAATCATAATCCATCATAAATCCCTAGTTTTCCAAAATCTTCATTTTTGTCAAAACTCTCATTATTCAAACCTCACAAGCAAAGTTATAAAAATAAAACCTCACAAGCAAATGACCTCTAAATCCTTTTTTTTTAGAAAGATGGGGTGCTAAAAGGGCACCCCTGGCTGGCACATTAAATTAATCGAGACTGGGCAATGCCCATAGTATCGTACAAGACCCAAAACGAAAGGTCTGAATCCTTAACGTCAAAGCTATGGGTGTCAATATTGCTATTGTGGCCGCAATTGGCTAAGAAATCGGCCGCCTTATTGCATTCCCTATAAATGTGAGAGATTTTCACCTCCCAGTTCATGTTGATGAGTGATGTGAATTGTTGAGTGAGGCTAAAGTATCTCTGATCTTCGTGGCAGGGTGCCGTAAGAATCTGCAACGCTGTAGTTGAATCGAGCCCCACTATAACCTTCTTGTGTCCCTGCTCCCAAGCGATTTTAAGACCTTCTATTACTCCCTTTATTTCTGCTCGTGTGATAGTTACCGAGCCTCCCCACAAAAGCTGTTGAGCAACGTCCTAGATGATCCCGGATGAGGCCTCCCATGGCTGCATCAGAGTTCGGCTGTCGTGCAGAGCCGTCGGTTTGCAAGCTGACCCAGCCTTCTGGCGGTGGCTGCCAAGCAAACAAGCACTCCTTTTTCCTGGCTTTCACTTCCTTGGTCATTTCGTCACAAGCTTGGGCTTCTTTGATAACATTCGTCCAGCTACGGATCGTTTGAGTTAAGACCCCGAAATCGAAGGATTTGTGTTGGAAGATGGACTTGTTCCTTTGCTTCCACAGGTACCATGCGGCCACTCCAAATAGGAGTCCTATCTCAACTGCACGCATGTTCCGCTCCATCCACTATGCAAAAGGAACAACCAAAGTAAGAAAAGTTTCTCCAAATCCCAAGTGTTGCCATACCTGTCGTGCTCTCGTGCAATGCCGAATCACGTGTTCTGATGTCTCCGGTTCGGACTTGCATAATTGGCAGGTATCCTTAGTGGTTAGTTTCCGCCTTTTTCGTTCAGCATTAGTTAGAAGTCTATTATGGATGGCCAACTACAGAAAATGTTTAATTCTGTTCGGTCCACTCCATTTCCAAATTCCTGTCCAGTTTGGTTCTGTCGCGGTATCCGCCTCCTCTCTGTCTTCCTGTGTTAGCCAGGCCGTCGCTGCTTTATACGTTGATTGTAGCCTGAAGTGTCCGTCGTCCTCCAATCCCCATGTTGTCAGGTCATCTCCTAGCTTCGAGTTCGGGGGCTCCATACCTGCAATAAGAGACACCATATGGTGAGGGAGGTGAGGGGGGATCACAGCCCAGTTCCACTCACCTTGCTCAGTTGTCAAGTCTGCCACTGAATCCTCCAAAGACACCCCCGTTCCATCGCTCAAAATATGCTCCGCCAGGATGGTTCCGTCCGCCAGCCATGGGCTGGTCCAGAAAGCGACTGTCTTGCCGCTCCTAACATCCCAAATGGCATGTTGCTTCATCACTGGCCAAGCATCTATTAATCCTTTCCATAGTCGCGAAGATCTGCTATTTTTCATGACCATTGCTCCACCTAGGCCAGTCTTGAAGTATTTTCCTTGTAGAACTTTTACCCACAGCTCAGACTCATTGTTTAAGAAACACCAAGCCAACTTCATAATATAAGCAATATTAAGCGCTCGCGCTGACCACAGCCCCAATCCTCCTTCATCTTTATTTTTGCACACCGTCTTCCCCCCCCCCCCCCCCCCCCCCCCCCGGTTCCGTTAACAAAGTGAGTCTTCGGCATGGTTGTCACGCCGGCCGGCGTGCCACCGGTTGTACTGGGTTCAACCGGTACCGGTCATAAAACCGGCGTGACACTACCGGTATGACCGGCATGATCGATACACGAATCTCTAAGTAAAATGACTTTATTTTAGAGAATTTAATTGATAAAAATTATTTTATTATTTATTTTATGAGTATAAAAATTAAATATTGATGTTATTTGTTGGATTCAAGTATAAATGCTTAGGTATTGACGTTAAATGTCATGTTTAAATATGAGTATTTATAATTTTAATAGTAATATTGACCGGCATGAACCGGCACAAACCGGTATGTGCCACCGGTTGAACCATTCCACTTGCTAAACCGACACACTGGCATAAACCAGTTTGACAACCTTGGTCTTCGGCTTTCCTTGCTCAACTCCCCCATATAAAAGCTCTAATCTTCTTTTCAATGATGTCACAGACCTCTAAATCCTTAATTATGTAGGCCTACACTTACTCACGGCACGGGTTTCGTATTGAAGCCTCTGCCATGGTTTTATGTTGTAATTGACTTTTTCCTCATTTGAATACACTTTTGATATCTCTAATTGACAAAAAAAAAGTAGCATACCAGCTTTTAACCAATATGATAAAACCGAAGTAAGGAACATATATGAAAGAAAAGGGAGCCGGAGGAGAAATAGGTATCGAAGTGCGGAGGCGCAGGCGACGGATGGACTGACGGACAAAACTACAAAGCCCGGCTTTTTGCGCTGCTGCGAATTCCGTGGAGTTTCTGACAGGTTGGACCAATTCGGCAATTCCAGTTCTCGGTGTCGGTGGAAGAGGAGAGAGCAGAGAAAGATACGGTTAATGCTGGCTTGCTGCCACTGCTGAACCCTCTCCTCAAATTTCTCCTTCCCCATTTTAATTTCCCATTCATCCCTAATATGAATGAATGAGAACTCAGCCACCATCTTTGCTCTCCCTCGCCGTTGACGCTTCTGTCCTTCACCTCTCTCACTTCTCCGATCTCTCTCCTCTCCCTGATCACATTCTGCTCGATCTCTTCCTGGTACTTCCCCTTTTCTCCTTCTTCTTCCTTTCCTGCCCTGCCCTTCCCTATTTGATTTGATGATTTTGTTATCTGGGTTTCGTTTCTGGCGCTTGATTTGGTGATCAAGGTCTGAATCTTATTGGTTTTATCTGTTTCTTCCTTTAGATTTCTGCCTTAGGGTTTGTATGGAGTCAGCGGATTGATAGTGCAATCGGTAAAATATATAGGTTGAACATTGTAACTATGTGATTTAGATCAGTAAAACCTAGAGATTGGACATATCCCCATTTCGATTATTGGAATATCTTCCGCTGTATGCTTTTCTTGATCGCCCTTGAAAACCCGTTACAATGCTGTGCCAAATCAGGGGGGGTGTTTTGTCTGTGCTCTCTTGATTGGTTTGCTATGTGTCTTGAAATGTATTGTGAATGCTGGACATTTCTGATTCTTGGTTTGCTTTAGGCTTTTCCTTTTGGTATATGCAGCTTCCCGTAGTTGAATATTTCTCTAGTCGACATTCAAAGTATATGCCAACTTGTGTCTTTCTCTGGTAGAGCGAAGCCCTTTTAAACTGGACACAACTTCTGAATTCATATATCATAAGTTCAGTACAGTTATTCATTCATTAAACGGAGCTAATTTAGGATTTTTGAACATTCTGTTCTGCTGTTAGCCTGTTACCTTTTCTGACCAACTGCATCCTTTGGGTCTCTGAACTATACTTCACAATAACCCAAGTTGTTTCCTCTCTTGTGGGTGTAGCGCTTTTTAAATTATCTATGGCTTCGGATATAGACTAGTTTAATTGAATCAAGCATATCTGTAGCAGCTGCCCTGGAGTTGTGATACTTGCTTAGTTCTTCAAACATTACTTGAAAATGAACCTCAATGCTTCTGATGATGGTTTTTGCCTTCTTGATTCCAAGGGTTCTGATGGTTTTAGTAGAAAAGCATCGATTGGTTCATGATGTAATTTTTGGTGACACTCAGTTTGTTTTGTTTTGTTTTGTTTTGAGAAGAGAACCTTGAGAGCTGGGAAGCTGAATGAGAAAATTCTGAAGCTTTTCTTGGCAACAGGCAAAGAAGAAGTGCTTTCTCTTATTCAGACACTCAATATACAACACATCCTGACTCCCGTCCTTCCCACCAGTGAGTATTGTTTCTGTTTCCTTAGAGGTATTACTTGATGAACCTTGACCAAGTTTTCTGAATTATTTATTTTATTTCGATAGGATGCTCAGAGAAATTCTGAGACGAATGCGCTAGATTGCATATATAATCAGTTGTTCCTAGGAGGGGGTTAAAGGGGAAAAACGATTTGATTGTTCCTCGAGTCTCCGAAGATGTCTGTAGTCAACAACATTGAAGATGGTGAGATTGACATTGTGATTGGAGCATTGCACTCCGATCTCAGGCCATTTATGAGTGCGTGGAAGTCTATATTTTCTCGTTATCACTTGATTATTGTCAAAGACCCTGATCTCAAGGATGATTTACAAATACCAGAAGGTCTTTCTTTCAAGATTGACATCTACACAAAGTCTCATATAGACAAAGTAGTAGGCAGTTCCACCTCCATTGCTTTCTCAGGTTATTCATGCAAGTATTTTGGCTTCCTTGTCTCTCGTAAGAAGTACATTGTCTCAATTGATGATGACTGCGTGCCGGTCAAAGATGCCGACAGTTTTCTCATAGATCCAGTGGCTCAACATCTGAGAAACCTTGCAACTCCAGCAACACCTTTCTTCTTCAATACCCTCTATGACCCTTATCGTAATGGGGCAGATTTCGTTCGTGGGTATCCATTTAGCTTAAGAAGTGGGATAACATGTGCTTTGTCATGCGGGCTCTGGCTTAACTTGGCAGACTTAGATGCACCAACACAAGCACTGAAGCCAGAAAAGAGGAACTCCCGTTATGTTGATGCAGTGATGACCGTTCCAGCCAGGGTAATGATGCCAATCAGTGGGATCAACATTGCTTTTAACCGTGAGTTGGTAGGGCCGGCACTATGCCCAGCTCTGAGGTTGACTGGGGAAGGGAAGGTGAGATGGGAAACAATGGAGGACATATGGAGTGGGATGTGTGTGAAGGTGGTGTGCGACCATCTTGGGCTTGGAGTGAAGAGTGGGCTTCCTTATGTGTGGAGGAATGATAGAGGTGATGCCATTGAGAGCCTGAAGAAGGAGTGGGAAGGCGTGAAACTAATGGAGGAAGTGGTTCCTTGGTTCCAATCAATGGTGTTGTCAAGAACTGCAACCAAGGCCGAGGATTGTGTGGCTGAGATGGCGAAAAGGGTGAAAGAGCAGTTGGGAGGTTCTGATCCTGGGTTTGGTCGTGCGGCTGAAGCTATGATGGATTGGGTGGAGTTGTGGAAGAAGGTTGGTTCTGGTCCTTCCCCAGTCTAGGAGGTAAGAAAGCTGATAGTTTCATATTACAGCCTTTCCAGACAGTTTACGTGGAACTAGATGAAGCTTAATTAGGAAGGTAAAGTAGCTATGGATTCCTGAGGTGCGTTGTTCAAAGCAGCAGTGGGGTTACGCTTGTTGCTGGATGATGAGGTCTGGAAGGGTATGGCAGTTTAATCAGATGCAGTTCCACCCCTTGCTCTATATGTTGGTCACTGATCTAACTGTACACATTTGAGTGTGCCTTGTACGCAAGTGTTCGTCTGTGAGCCGTTCAGTGTGTCAAATTTACTTGGAAGAAATACTGTGCCATTGCTAATGGACCGGCAACGTCCAATGTTGTTGTTCTTGTTCAATCCACATTTGTTACATGGATAACAATAAGAAACTTGTCAAAACACGTTGTTCTTTGTTGTTATGTACATGAAATTGGAAGCCTAAGAATGCAAGGCCTTGCTGAGAACAGCAAATGTGATAATCGCTTAATTTTTATTACCTAGGAACATCTCACAAACACACCACATTTTGTGATGGCGTAGCGAGACCAAATCTAGAGTCACTGCTGCAATTTTATGTGTGTAGTAAATCACTCAAATTAGTGGGACTAGATAGGAATATCAAATGATGTGTTTGGCAATAAAAAAACAAAATTCATTAAACACACAATTTTCGAATGGCTCTTTTTTTTCATTGAATCAGTTACTCTCTTTATTAAGAAATCTGAGATGTGAGAGGATCAAATTATTCCTAGGACATCCCAAAGAAGGAACCTCCAATAAAACAAGAAAACTTAAACAAATAAAGCTGCTATTACCCCCAACTGTCTTTCCTCAACCCCTTTCCTATTGAGTAAACATATATACTATAAACTAGCAAAATCATTAAACAAAATAGGGTGATATCGAATTGCAAAACTCATATCTCTATGCCGAAGTTTCACTACTTCGGCAGCACGTCTTGGACTCTCTCCATGGCATCGCCGACAACATTCCTGACAGATGAAAGAGATTAGCGAACACCAACGTAACCCAACAAATCGCCCTGCGCCGAGTTCTTTGTCGCCAAATCCCCCGCTGCTGCAAGTCGTAGAGGTCAGGAGTCCCTGCGAAACAAACTTCCCCGCTTGAGGGCTCATTTTTTTCCCACTACTTTTTTTTTATTATAAACTTGTCTTTTCTCATTAACTCAATACTAACACTATTTTTTTTTTTTTTATGAAGCGGTTGGGATTTCATTTCATCAAATAGCCAAGTACAATGCTGGCAACATCTCTGCCAGCTGAGCAAAGGGAACAACAGGTCCCTGTACACTAACAAAACCAGATTAATCACTCACTCACCTATTCAAAAGAACGAACACACTGCTACAGGATCTCCAACCACCCTTATATCTCCTTGAACCCTCTGAATCAAAGCATGGAAATCAGCTTTCTTCCCTGCAAACTTTATCAAGCATCTTTCTCTCCAAATTGATGCAATTAGAGCTTGCCAAATCAGCTTTCCAGTTTGTGCTAAGACAGTGGAACCTTTGAAAACATTTAAGGCCCACTGAAGCTCACCATTCCATTGATCTTCAGGGAGTCGATCTGCAAATTTACAAAACAAAGCTGCATACATCTGTTTAAACATAGAGCAAGCAGCAAAAAGATGAGACCTTGTTTCCAGGCTACAGGAACAGAAAGCACATCCAAAGTCACCAGAACCTCCCCACCTTTGAACCTTCTCTCCAGTGGTGATACAGTCAGAGATAACTAGCCAAACCAGGAATTGGTTCTTTGGGATGCTAGTTCCTTTCCATACCAGTTTCCCCCAAGCAACTTTACCCTTATTTGGTCGAAGTTCCTCCCAAATCTTCCTTATGCAAAATTTTTTCATAAGAGCACCCTTCCAATAAACCCCATCAGCAGCAACAGATAGCCACCCCCTGATTTTATCTCTGATTTTCAATACTCTCTGATTTTCAATACTAACACTATTTTCCGGTAATTAACAATAAAAAAAATTTATTTTATTTTGCCTTGATAAGAAATTTAATACTTTCCAATAAATTTCAATATTACTTTTCAATTGTTTTTTAACAATAATTTCAATTATTCTCTAGTTAAATAGTCATTACTATTTTGGAGACTAGCTTTGGGCCCGGCCCATTGGCCGGTGAAGTATAGAACCGCGACTTGTATTGTGTCTCAATTGCACAGATAATTTTTCTTTCTTATCAATCTTTTTTTTTTAATGTTTATTGTTTGGTAATTACGATTGTTAATATCCAATGAAAAAAGAACTTATATTTTTTTATTAAATGGGAATTTATTTTTAGATAGACTCGAAAAATATTGAGAATTTATTGATAGGGGTATTTAGTGGGATAGATGAAAAAAAAAAGAGATATGGGACGGAGCAAATATCCAAAATCAATATGTAGAATCTCTCTAATTATGAAAGATTTGATATCTTTAGATTTTAGAGATTTATAATTTCTAAAATTATAATCCATGATACAAAAAGTAGCAAAAAAAACATATAACATTTTGCTAAATCTATGAATTCAATAAATTTATAATTCAAATCTTGATCCCCAAACCGACACCTAAATAGCTCTTCAAAAGTAGAATCATCAGCTTTAGCATAGATTTTCAGGTACTTGGGTATTTAGCCAATCCAAGCACCAAACATTCAAGTCCGTCATTGTGTCTATGTGCCAACCATAAGTGTCATTTATCCTTTTGGAATTATTCTGTGTTTATAAAAATGGGAAGAAGGTAAGGATTGTTAGTCACACAGAGTCCCATCGGAAGACTCATAATAAGCAAATTACAGAAAACCTAACTATTTACCATCTAAAGCCCCATTATCCAGTCTAATCATTAGTTCCTCTTAGCCCTCAGAATTCATGCTGTCAAGAGCTATAATGTACTCTGGTTCATCAGATATATCCTATTTTGAACTCAAGGCCATTCCAGCCTAGTAATCACTTCAGACTCAGGTGTAAGACCATGTATTAGAAAAATTGTAGATAATGCAATTGTTAAGCTACAAAATCAAAAAACCTCAAGCTAACAAACATATTCATACTATCATACAAACAGTGGCGGAGCCAGAAAATTGACCAAGGGGGTGCTTCATATCGTAAAAATTAAGTACATAAGAGAAAAGTCAACTATAAGAAGAAAAAAGTCAATACATAATACTCAATATCAAGGCTCGATAAAAAAATATTCTTACAACTACAAATAATAGTTCAATTCACACTACTTACAGATAATAGTTCGAAGTAGAACACATTTATTTGTCTAAACTAGCAGCCTAGCACACAAACCTTGTTTAATATATGTCACTAACACATTGTTCAACCACTCATCATTCATCCAGATCCAAAAATTGTTCTTGATATATTTCATGTATAAAAATGATCTCTACACTTGGTATTGCAACCTAGATGTCAACTTGAGAAGTAAACAAACATATTGCGGTAATTTGTTTACATCATTTTCTACATAATTCATCAACCTCTTATTAATTTTTGTCCATTTCACCGAATAGTAGTTCGGAAATATATGAATTAAACTGATGACAAACAAAATGATAATTCATCAACCTCTTATTAACTTTTGTCCATTTCAACGAATAGTAGTTCAGAAATATATGAATTAAACTGATGACAAACAAAATGATAATTCATCAACCTCTTATTAATTTTTGTCCATTTCAATAAATCGTAGTTCATAAATATATGAATTAAAGTGATGACAAACAATTCAACTGAGTGGCAGCAGAACAAAAATAAAAAGGGTAGGAGTGTGTTGGTGGGAATGATAAACCATTTAGAGTTTAATTTTAGGACAAATTACTTTTCTAAACTTAAAGGCATGTGATTTAGAAAAGAAACTTATATGCAGCTGAGATGGTGAAGCAAGCTGCTGTAATTTAAAAGGTTAGGGGTTCTAAACTTCTTCCCTCACATTCTTGGATTTTTGGTTTGCCTCTCCAAGGGGGCTGCAAGCACCTCCCACCTTGCTGAGTGGCTCCGCCACTGCATACAAAGCTAATCAAAAGGCAGAGAGAGCCAGACTTGACACTGAAACAACCTGTGCTCAATGATTCCAATGTACCATCAAAAAAAAATTCCTTCTCCTAGCAAATGGGGCGAGACTTGGAATGACCTATAACCATTAAATTCAGAATACATACAAAGAGAGATTGAGAAGGGTATGAGCGAAAACAGAGCCGGCGGCGGGGTTTGGAAGGGACTTTTGAGGGCAGCATAGGGAGTTGGGGAAGCAAATTGAGGGTGTGGGATTGGGGGAGCTGCGAGATGTGTACGGGAAAATACGGCGGCAGTGAGTTTGCTATGCGGTGCGGTGTCGAAGGGACTTCCGGGAGCGACACCAGCAAATTCGAGAAACAGGTTTAGGGTTCGGCAAGATTAAGCCATCAAGGTAACTGCGGTGGGCAAGAAGTGAGATTTTTTTGAGGGTTTGGTAATCAGACGGTAGAGAGAGAGAGAGAGAGAGAACGGATGAGAATTTTTGTGCGAGATAAGAGGCCGGAGAGAGAAGGAATGAGAATTACCAGGAGGTCCTTCCGCAGTGTGCGGTACATTGAGAAGGGGCAGACGTGGCAAACGCGATTTATTGACATTCCTTCATAGTATTTTGTAGATCGGGGTCAACTATAAGCTCTGTGGTTGCATAATGATTAAGTTGTAGACATGTAGCTATTACAATTTGTAAAAAGGTTAGGATAAAATTAGTGTGTAAAATTAGAAAGTAGTATTATACATGATTCTTATACAAGGTTGCAAAATGATTTTTTTATATGATTGTTTATTACAATAACCAACAAGATAATGAAACAGATTATATATAAAAGAAAAAATAATAACTATATACAAATTATTTATTCAAGAATGTGAAAATATCTAGATTACTAACAGTAATCTAGATATTGAATGTCCAAATCATGTGTTACTGTGGCCAGATGATGATTCTTCGTTAAGGATTGGTATTACTTACTGTAACTTGCCTCCTATCTGTTCTAAATGTCATCTGTTTGGTATTATTGGGGAATGTACTAAGCATCAAGGTCAACAACAAGGTCAGAAATGGGTTCCTAATCAAGTTAATCCTGTGATCTCTATTACTGAAAAGGTGCAAAGTGCCAAATTGGATGTTCCAGTGGTAGTGCAGGATCAAACAGTGAGTAATGGAAAAGGTAAGGAAGTGGTGCTATATGATGCTGATCCTCAACTAAGTGCTATGATCCCTGAGCTTGCAGGGACGAGTCAGATTCCTCTTAACCTGGAGAAATCCTTTCAAGATGCAGCTAGTTCTCCTAAGCTTCCTACTGTGGATGAATTTCAGATGGTAGTAAATGGGGCTAAACCTCGCATTTGGTCTCCTCAGTCAAGTCCTCAGATTCAGACTACATCAGCATTTACTGCACTAAGTAAGTTGGACGAAAACAATATCATTAAGGTTCAAGCAACTCCAAAAAAGAAGGATGGTAAGAAGGAGGTTAGGAAGGGTGGGGGGAAACCCTCTTCCTCCAAATGATTGTCTTATTCTGGAATGTAAGGGGGTTTAATAAAACCTCCAAACAAAGGGACTTGCTTCAAGTCCTCCGTAGAAATAAGGTAGATGTTGTAGCTGTTTTAGAA